ATGCCGTGGATCCTGTCGGCAAGGACATGACAGCTCCTGGAGCTAAGCCAGCTTCCTTGGGTGTCCCAGCTCCTGATATCAAGCCAGTTTCCTCGGCCGCTGATAGCGAAAGAGATGACTTTGGCAAGCACCATTCTTTCAATTTATTTCTAAATTAATACCATCATTACAGTGGCAGTGAAGCTCTTTGACTTCATGGATCAGACTGCCATTCCCTGGAAGTTTATGTTCCTGCGCAGAACATTGTCCAAAAAGGAAAGCAAGGTCCCTCCGCCAATATCACGGACCTTGTCCCGGCTTTGATGGAGCAACACTGGTCATCAGGCGACAGATGTGCTTTGTCGAACTCGGTGCAATCCAGCACCTCTTGATGGTTCACAACCAGACCTTGTGCTAGCCAGGAAGGATGACAATGGGCACATTCATACTACACGGGCCTTTAACACAGAAACAGCTGAACAGTTCAATTCATGGCTCAGCAGGTTTGAAGCTCAGTTGAAACAGATGTCTGCCCGGAACTATGATGTTTTCATGCATGTTCTATTTCTACTCTACAAGGAGCTCAGGGAAGCGGAAATCGCTGGGAAAGGGCACAAATTGACAGAAGAATTCTGGGAAATTGTCGAAGGATTAAAGGAACCAGAGAACAACTGAATTCAGCGAAAGTTCACCGTGGGTAGATTGAATTAGAATGTGAATAACAAACACAGCACAATGCAGCTACAATAGAATATTGTAAATATTGTAGCTGATTTACATGCTGTGGGGTTCAGTGAACACTAGTGGCCTTCACGACCCTAGAGTCCACTGACCTCTGGCAGAGGTTGATGAATGATTGGGCTCCGGTGACCTCCAGTGGATCCGCTAAGACTTCCACTAAACTTCAGTGGAGGTGAATCTGCTGGGACTTCCGCTGAACTCCCGCTGAACTCCAGCGGAGTTCAATATAGAAGTAACATCCAGTGAACCCCGGTAGAAGTGACCTGAGCAGTGCTCTGCAGAACTTAGTGGAGTTTGGTGGAGGTGATTCTACTGGGACTTCCACTGAACTCCAGCGGAGATCAATATAAAAGTAACATCCAGTGAACCCCGGTGGATGTGATCTGAGCAGAGCTCCGCTGAACTTTAGTAGAGTTTGGTTTTGAGCTGAACTTCCACTGAACTTCCACTGGTATGCTCTCCTAATTAATCCAATTCCCTAACAGATGGGGACTCGTCTCAGTCATCTGAGCTGTCCTCTTTGGCCATAGGGACCGGGTTTCTAAGATGACGAGGGACAGCACCTCTGGTATGTCTCATCCTTCTCTTGAATAGAATATTGTAGCTCATTTACATGCCGTGGAGTTCAGTGAACTCCAGTGGCCTTCACGATCCTAGACACTGACCTCCGGCGGAGGTTGATGGGTGGTTGGGGTCCGGTGACCTCCAGTGGAGGTGAATCTGCTGGGACTTCTGCTGAACTCCAGCGGACGTCAATATCAAAGTAACATCCAGTGAACCCCGGTGGAAGTGACCTGAGCAGAGCTCCGCTGAACTTCAGTGAAGTTTGGTTTTGAGCTGGACTTCCACTGAACTTCCAGTGGATGTTTGCGTAATGCCCAGGCTTCCAGTGGAGTTCGCTGAGTTGAGCTGTCGAGGCGGCGGCGCCCACCGGAAGTCCAGTGGAAGCCGCCGCCTGCCGGTGGCCGCCAGCGGCTTTTCCCACACGGCGCTTATTACTGGAGCCTGTGATACTTATTCGACCCATATGGAAAGATCGTGAGATCATGTCGCCGGCGATTTATAATAAAATTGCCCCTCACCGCTCACTCCTTTATTCACCAATGGTATCTCCAGGTGTCCTTCACATTTTGAGGCTTTCCGTTTCGTTTTCTGTGCTTCCTATCGTCACATATGCATCCTTAACAGCGATTCAACGACACAATGGCCTGGCTTTCTCCGAGTGGATGATTCTTCTGGTTTCTGCCGCCACATTGGCCGCTCGTGGCCTTGTGTCGCCAATTGTAGCGCAACAGCTCAATAAACGGCGTGCAGCTGCTCTGGGCGCAATTATACCGCCAGAGGTTGAAGAAAGCAGCATGGCGGTTATGGCGAAGCTCAGAGGCCTATCCACAGGCTATCCTCGTACGTTCTCTTTTGAACTTACAGCAATAGCTAAGCTTTCTCCAAGTCGAAATTTTCGAGGAATGGGCTGATAAATACGGGCGGGTTTTCGGTTTTAGCATCTTTTCGGAACGTCGAGTGAGTTGAGGTCTTGATTCAATGGCTGGCTCTGATAGTTTCAGCTGTATACCACGGAACCTCAACATCTCAAGGTGTGTCCTTTGCTTTCGTTGATAATAACACTCTGACGGTCACAAGGCCATCCTGGCCACCCAGTTCCAAGAATTCGGAAAGGGTCCACTCCTTTTCGACCAGTTCAAGTCCTTGTTGGGAACTGGAGTTTTCAACTCCGACGGTATGTTTCGTCTCCACGCATATCTCAACCGTCTCATGATCTTTAGGTGATATGTGGAAGCACGGCAATCTATTGCAGTCCTAATTTAGGCTAACCGTCGGCTCTTAGGTTCCACCGCTCCATGACGAGACCCTTTTTCAACAAGGACCGTATCAGCGACTTCGATATCTTTGATAAACATGCCGAGGATGCTATATCACAAATCAAGGCAAGGCTTTGCCAGGGATATCCTGTCGAGTTTCAAGTACGTGCAAGGAGTAACGAATGAAACTGAGGCTTATTCATTCGATACAGGATGCCGTTGGACGTTTTACATTGGATTCTGCGACAGACTATCTATTTGGGAAAGATGTAGGCTCATTGTCCGCTGGACTTCCTTATCCGCCGTCGGTTTCTGGTTCGGGATACGTGGAAGATCATCCGTCCAACAAATTCATGACCGCTTTCGCTCTAGGGCAGCACTATTCTTCCCTCCGGGCTCGTTCAGGTGCTCACTGGCGAATGATGGAGATGAAGCGTGATGAGGTTCTCCCGCTGAGAAAAGTGATCAACGAGTTCGTAGACCCTATCATCGACGAGGTGGTGGAGAAACAGGATATCAAGACCGAAGAGGATGACGAGAGCTTTTTAGAGCATCTCGTTCGACATACCCAAGGTATCCGGTTTCATCTCTTTCGGTTCTGAGTGCTGACTGTCCTAGATCGTCAAATATTGCAGGACGAGTTGATCAATCTCTTGGTTGCTGGCCGTGACACGGTGAGTAGAGTCATGCCGAGAAAGCGCCGCTGCTAACAGATTATAGACTGCAGCTACCTTGACTATTGCCATTTATATACTCAGCCAACGTCCAGACATTGTGGCGCGCTTGCGTCACGAAATGATGGAGAAAGTTGGTCCGTCGAAGAGACCGACATACGACGATATCCGAGACATGAAGTACATGCGGGCTTTTATAAATGGTACCCTTTTGACTCTTGAGATATCCAGTTCTCTGACTCGAACTTGATACAGAAACATTGCGACTCTACCCTGTCGTGTAAGTTTCAATTTGAACTTCGATATTCGTCGTAACTTATTATTCTCTAGACCAGTCAACGGAAGGTAATATGCCTCTCTGACCGAAATAACATGTTCTGACCATTCAGAACATCGACTCGCACTACAACTCTACCTGGAACCCCGAGCACTGGAGGACGTCCGGTTTACGTCGAAAAGAATACAAAGTCAGCTATTTCGACCTGCTCCGACCACTGTGACTGACCATCCCACAGAGTCCTTTACAGCGTCTTCTGGATGCAACGTCGAACAGATCTATGGGGTCCTGACGGTGTGTCATTTTCTTTAGCTGCCCATATCTACTGACGCTTTGCCTAGCCCTTGAATTCGATCCAGATCGTTTTATAGACCACAGACTGTCCAAGTATCTGACTCCAAACCCATTCATCTTCCTTCCATTCCAGGCTGGTCCGAGAATCTGTTTGGGTCAACAAGTTCGTCTCTTAGCATCGATTCAACTCGTCCTGATAACCTTTCCTCAGTTCTCATACAACGAAATTTCATTCTTCCTCATTCGTCTCCTCCAAAGCTTTAGCGAGTTCACCTTGGCATCCGATGTTCAGCCTGCATCGTCCAAACCGCCTGCTGACTGGGCCTCATGTGCAGGTACAAAGGGTACAGACAAGATCAAATTTGATTTGTCTTTCACAATGAGCGCACAGGTGAGCTCGTGTTCTGACCGTTTTCGATGCCATATTCATGCTTTGTCATAGGATGGTCTCTGGATTAACCTGGGAGATGCGAGCACTGAGATCAAGGAAATGTGATTCTTTGTAGTGCAATGACTCGATAAGTTATTAGTTGTCAATTACATTTAGTCTGTGCGAAAATTCAGCTCCGAGAGTTGTTTCATCTTGCCTCTGAGATCTAGAATGAGGATGTGGCACAACCCAAGTTTAACAGAATGATACTAACTTTGATTTGCATTGATAAGTACAATACAAGCGAGAGCGGGACGACAAGATGCATGTAAACTGGAGTCCAAGGCACTGGCAGCTCGTCTGCTTCTTAGGTGGCGTCTCAGCTATCATCTCGACCCAATCTCTTGTTGAAGGTATCAGTTCCACAATAGCCTTGTCAACCGCCGAGGATCTCCGTCTCAGTTTCGAGCATTCTTTGCAAACCTGCCTAACCGTAAGCTAAAACCAAACTGGGATCACTCCAACGCAGGCGGCAACAGATCGGTCCCACGATAAGCCTTGTAAGGAACGAGCGGGACTTACAGTATCTCAGCCTCCTAACCAGGCGTTCGGGCGTGGCCTATCCATTCTAAAATAACTGTCATGCGCCACAATTCTATTTCCTCTTGATGTCTACCTGTAACTGTTGCCTCTGAACGAATTGCGTATTCTTTAAAGCGACCAGAGTCATCGATCAATTCTTCGCCATTTTTCATGACCCATCATCATGATTTGCCACGGCATATGTCAGCACGTAGAGTACGTCATTGGAAAGAAAGCAAAAAGACATCATAGTCATGATTCATAGCCCACCGCGAGGGTCGAACTCGCAGCCTTTCGATTCACGTGCCATGACAATTACGGAAACGTAAGAGTCGAATGCTCTATCCGATTGAGCTAGGCAGGCGATGGGGCATTCTTTCCGCGATGCATGATAATAGCGGTTCGGCTAAACACGTCTCGAAAGGCTTACGCAGAACATTGTGAATCAGGATTCGGAAGAAGGCGCAAAAATAGGACATGGAGTAGGAATCGGATACAGGAAGAATCTAAAAGGCGATGAAAGGGAATCTCTGTGAAAGGTAAACAACGTACCATGCCCCGCTTCTGAGACGACCAATGTGTCCAGTCTCCTCGTCTACGAAGCAGCTGCGATTAAACAGAATCACGCTTTCGAAAGATGGTGTAGCTGGCCAAGCAGTGGATGGAGCCAACCGGGGAGGAAATGGTCTGTCAGAGAATGAATGAGAGATAGCCTTGAAAGACGATGATGCACCAGGTGCCTCAGAAATCCGCGAATTTACGAGACCAGCTAATAGGTTGGATCAACGATAAACTATAATTTCTTGAGAATATGCAATGACGCACCTGTTCGACAATCCTGCGACAGCGACGACAAAGAGAATCTCCCTGTAAGACGATAATAAGGATCATTACGCCACGAGACTGAATCAACGACGTCGAGCGACATGACAACGAAAGGGAAGGCTGAGCTCCAGGTCAGAAGACCGTCATTCTATTGTGCCGCATTCTTCCTCGAGGCTGAGGGGTGCACCTGGACTGTGACGAGAAGGAACGGTGACCGCGCGGTCGATTGAATGCGTGACATGACCAGCGTGACGTGACGCGACGCGCGCTCATGGTTGATGCGCCGCCGCCCGATGGCCGTACGTTGAGCATAACATCCGAGATCAGCGTGACGTGACCTGACGTGTCATGTATATGTGACACAACGCGCGCTCATTTGGTAATGCGTGACGTCCGAGATTATAATTTATAAGACTCGCCTCCGTCCGTACCCCCTGCAACCCCACTCGCCCCGCTAGGGTCTTGGGGGTGCCACTTTCAGCGCATGCGATTGAGTTGCCTCAGGTATGTACCCAGAATCCCAGAAAGATGCGCCTGAAACAGCTTTGACTTGATTTTATTCCATTTTTGCTCCGAAATCTTTCTGATATCGTTCGAGACTCGAAATTCAATTGAATGTCAAGCGGTGATTGTTCCCAAGTTGTCGAGGGTTCCCAACATTCTCACAACACCGTTTTCTATATAAAACCTTCCCCCAATATTTACGTCGAATATGCTTCCAGCTCGAACCTATCCCACACCTACATTGAAATGTTCTGCCCAAACGACGGGACTCGCGACGAAGTTTCAGTTTCCCCTCCTTCCACAATTTGAAGACTCCATATGAGCCTTTAGCTGATCGGTGCGGGAGAACTCGTGATGGCAGGAGTCACAGGAGATTTTCTGGAGACCCAAATGGACGACACCGATGTGCTTATAGAGGTGCCCCACCAATGAACCGCAGCCCATCCATCGGCAGGGCCTGCTGCGACGAGGAACATTGTGGACCTCCTGTATATGCTTCTTCATGTCTTTTGCCTCCTTCACTTCAGAGCAAGTTTGTAGTCCATCTTCGTCAGTCCACCCACATCTTACCAGATACGCCTGGTTGGCAGCCTGCTGTTCCTTCCGAGACAGCTGCGAGAAAGCTCTGATTTCAGTGGTAGAGCGCTTCTGGGGTCCGGAAGGGAGGTACTGAACCATCGTCCCAAGTTTTTCATCCATTCTTTGGATGATGAATCAGCAAAGTCAGAAGAGAATCGTGGTAACAGAACCTACCCTTGGTCCAGTTGAGCATACTGTAGGTCTTCGGCGTGACCATCCAAGGTGGGCATCCGAGATGGAAGACTTGGAGTCGAAGACCTTCTCAGGAGATCGCCGTACACATGAGCTGGTGGCCTGTTCAAGATTCAGCAACAATGAAGAAGAAAGAATCGTGAGGACTCACGAAGTCGCTCCAGGATATCTGAAAGCATTGAAATCAATAAACATGAGAAAAATAATCAACTGGTCGACTCACGTGGATTGTTCATTCATGGTAAAGACATGAGACTGAGAATTAGAGTTGTGTCCCGAGCTGAACGTGTCCGACTGAGAGCTAAGAAAATGTCAGTGGCGATCATTTACCCGCATGGGATATACAAACCTCTGTTGCTGAGTAGGTTTGAGGCTGATGTCCTGGTAGAAGCTACATCACTTGAGCAAAAAGGTCACTGACATAGTAAATGGACTGACCTGGGTGATCGTGCCATGTAGAGTGCATTGTTCCTGGGACAATAGGCCATCGCGGTGAGATCCAAGCTATGTCAGTGAATAATCAGTCAAGGGCAGATCCAAAAGCAATAGCAAGATGTACCTCAGTGATCCTTCTTCAGATATTGACGACATCATTGAAGCCCTAGAAAAAATGTCAAGAAGCCGGCTCATCGCTGAACCACAAGCTGACATGAATTCGTTGCACCAGTGTTCCGAATGATGACGAGGACTACCTTGGGCTGGCCGATGAGATGGTCTACAATTGATGTTGATAATTCGAGATCTTTCTGTAATGGGAACAAGGTTAGAACATGTAATGGTCACGACAAAAAATATTACCTTCGTCTGTAGCAAAAAGTGTTAAACAAAGAATAGAAATGAGTCTCAGTCGTAGCACAGATGAGTGAAATGACTATATTGAGTCGATAAACTACCTGTTAAACAAAGAATAGAAATGAGTCTAAAGGTAGTAATGTCCGTGAGTAATAGTACGTATAGTAAGGGATATAAACATACCTCAGTCGTAGCACAGATGAGTGAAATGACTGAGGTACGTTGACGACGCATGAAACGCTATAAAGTAAGGAGTTGAGATAAGATAAGATAATAAAAGAAAGAAATAATAACAAGTCCGTCGGACCAACCTTCAACACTCCCCCTGGTCCGAACGACTCCTTCAAAGACGACGAACTCCCAAGAACGTCAAGTGTTTCTCCAAAATAATCCTGGGAACAACCTTGGTAAAGATATCGGCAGGGTTTTCCGAACCAGCAATATGTTCGACTTCGAGAAGCCCTTTGCTGACCAAGTCCCGGATGAAGTGAATGCGCATGTCGATATGCTTGTCCTGGTGATGCTGCTTCGTATTGGCTGTGAGTTGAGTTGCACCTAGATTGTCGCAATACATGATGGGGATGCCCTGGGGAAATCCAACTTCCTCGAACCAACTTTTCATCCAATTCGCCTGCTCGGCCCCTTTGCTCAAAGCAATGTACTCCGCCGCGGTGGTCGATAAAGTTACGACAGCTTGTCGTTTCGAGGACCAAGACACTGGAGTGCCTGACGCTGTGAAGACATATCCTCCAGTCGATTTCCTGGTATCCAGGCAAGTTCCGAAATCCGCGTCGACAAATCCAAGTGGACAGAGCCATTCCTCTGGCGAAACTCCCGTCAGAGGCGGTAGAAAGGTCAGCACATACTCCAGAGTCTGCTTGACATAACTGACTACATGCATCATTGCATTCCAATGAAGCATACCTGGGTTAGCTTGGAACCGCCCCAGAATCGATACTGCATGTGCCAAATCTGGTCGAGTCTGTCCAGCAGCCCATCCTAGTTTTCTGAGGATTTCCTTGTAAGGAAGGTCAACCATTTCCTCGACTTCGGCATTGTTGGATGGTGACATAGAACTAGTGAGCGCTGTGCCGACGGCGAAAGGAGTGTGACGAGGTCGAATATGATCCAAATGAAACTCCTCAAGCATCTCCTCGAAATAAGCCTTTTGAGATAGACGTACACGGCCGGAAATCCTGTCCCATTCAAACTTCATTCCAAGCAGGGATGCTTTGTCGCTGACGTCTCTGATGTCGAACAGACTCGCCAGTTCATCGTGAGCTTCCTTAGCGACTTCATCAGAAGAGGCTATGCCAAAGACGTCGTCAGTGTGAATGCAGTGAATGATGAAGTCGTCGTCGCCGATTTCCTTGTGATGCACGCATGGGTCCGCTCTGGATTGAGAAAAATCGAGACTGTCTAGGCCATCGTTGAGGGTGACCTGCCAATCCCTCGACCCTTGTTTCGTCCCGTAGATCGTCTTCTTTAACTTCCACACTTTATCCTCCTGCCCCTTGACTTCGTGACCCGACGGCTGCCGCATATATATGTCCTCTTTAGTCGGGCTATTGAGAAAAGCAGCGGTGAAGTCGACCAAGACTGGTCGAAGCTTGTAGGCAGCAAGGATGGCACAGGAATACCGAATTGATTCTGAGCGGGCTACGCCTGCCCAAGTTTCGCTGTAGTCGATTCCTTCCTTCTGTGTATAGCCTTTTCCCACCAACCTAGCTCTGTCCTCGAGCCAATTACCGTCTCCATCTCGCTTCTCACTGTAGACGAACATGGAGCCCATAATATTGGCACCGGCAGGAGCATCAACCAGCTCGAAGACCTCTCTTTTCACCATTTTCTCCACTTCAATTGCTTCAACCGCCTTCCAATGAATAGGGTCCATTCGCATAGCCTCCTTCTGGTTCTTAGGGATCCGAGAGTTTCCCGGAGCTTCTGCTACGAGAGCATGAGCTGGTACGTCTCTAGACGGGATCTCGGTTCCCCAATGTTCACCATTGGCTAAGGCATCGGCATTCTGTTGGTCTGAAGCGAGAGATTCTGCCATATTCTTGGTCAGGTTGATTTCACGGCGAGGACGACGAGCTGTGAGAGATGGTGAAGGAGGAAGGGGGTTTTCGACAGGAGACGATGGTACAGGAGTAATTTCTCGAATATCCGGGTTAATGATGGCTGAGATATTGTCCGGGCGATGATCTGCGTCATTGTCGAGGAAGGGATCGGTTATTCCGTCGTCTAGACCCGTTCGATGAGCGCTGCTCTCATCAAACACGACGTCACGAGAATTGATTATCCTTCCTCCCTTGGTCAAAATCCGGTATCCGGCATGTCCGGGCAGGTACCCGAGTAGGACTCCTTCGACCGAACGGACGTTCAATTTGCTTCCAGCATCAACCCCAACCTGACGTCCAAGGCCGTCCATCGGTATCTTTGCCCATGCTCGACAACCAAATGCTCGCAGGT